ACAATTTATTAACATACTCTTTTTTAAGTTCATTTAGGTTCTTTTGATAACGATAGCAGAAAATAGCTATCGAAACGTCAAGGTAATTTTTCAAATTAAGTTCTCTACGAATTGGAATTTTCTCTTACAGCTTGAGCCTAAGTATGTCGCAGGATACCCTCTAGGTGATAGTTCTTGATTACTTTTTGATAAATAATTCGTTCTTATTGCGAAATAAGAGCACCATTTATCAATCTGTAATAAAAGACGTGAGGAAGTTCTGTCTGAGAAAAATTTTTGAGGCGAAATACCCAAAAAAGAAGTTTGTAAAAAAGCACCAATTAATTAGCTTCGAGGTTCGTGCAATTTTCCCATTATTAATCGCCAAATTAATTTCCTGTTTGTTTTTTAATGAAACTTGACCAGATTTGCTTAAAATCCTGCTGCTGATTTTAGCGGCCTACCAAGCCGAGTCTACTAGAACCTTTAGCGCATCTCAGATAACTGCCGGGTTAGTTGAGTTATTTGGAAATAAAAAACGGGTTTTGTCTGCAAAGGATCTCTTTAAAATATGATCGAGTTTTTTTTTAATTGGTCCAGAAACCAGGATGTTTTGTTAAATAAAGCTTCAGCCTGTTGAATATATTACAACAAATGGCGCATCTCATATAACTCCTGCGTTTTTGGAGCCAATGCGAAAATCGAAAAAGGGTTTTATGCGGAAAAGTATACTTTAAAATGTGCTTTGAGCAATTAGTGAAATTGTCTCAAAAACCGGGAATTTTTAAACAAAGCTGCGCGCTTTAAGCACATGAAAATGCATGGGGTCTGTTATAACTGGCGCAATTCTTAAGATGTCCAGCAACTTGAAATTAACGGTTTCCCTTAGAAAGTTTCCTTTTCTTAATTTGCCTAAAAAAATATTTTAAATTACGCACAAAAATGAGCATTTTTTAGATCAAACAGCAGCTTAAAACACACATTAGTTAGCACAGTTAGCGCATCTCATACAACTGCTGGGTTTTTTGAGTTACTTGGAAAATTTCAAAACAGTTTTGTCCCTAAATGAATACTCTGAAATGTGCTTTCAGGAATTGGCAAAATTGTATGAACATCTGGAATTTTTAAAACAAGCGGCAACCCAAATTTTCTATAAGGATCTGGAGCGTCTCCAATATTATTCGAAAGGTGATTGGGTTATTCAGCAAATTAAAAAAACGGTTCTGCTCCTGAAAAAATATTATTTCAATAAATATTAAAACCGCCCCAAAAATTCGGGTTTTTTGCATAAAACAGCAGCTAGAGACATAAATTACAGTGATTGGCGCATCTCGTATAACTGCCGGGTTTTTTGAGTTACGTAAAAAATTTCAGATGGTTTTACGCGCAAACAAATAGTTTGAAATGTGCTTTCAGGAATTGGCAAAATTGTCTTAATAATCAAGACAAAATCAAGCCGCGTCCCAAATTTTCTATAAGGGTCTGGAGCGTTTCCCATAAAATTCGTAAAGTGTTTGGGGTATTTAGCAACTCGAAAACGATCGGTTTTGCTCTCAAACAAATTTGGAAAAATATTATTTAAATAAATTTATGACCGCTCTAAAAATTCGTATTTTCACGACAAATGGGGTTATTTGGGAGGCAACCTGAAAACGAACGGTTTTGCTACAAAACAAATTCTAAAAAATATTCGTTTAATGTGCTTGACAAAATTTGAGAGTTATTGGAGTATTTTAAATGAAGCCACAATCCAAAAACTCGCGCTGGTTTTCTGGGTTATTTAGCAAATTGAACAAAAAATAATTTACCTCGGAAGAATATCTTAAAAACTTACTTCATTTTCTTTAAATAGCCATAAGAATTCAGATTTTTAAGCAGCAGCTTCAGACATAAATATGTAACAGCGATTAGCGCAACTTAGACATAAAGATGGCTTAAAAAAACAGTTTAAAAATGTGCTTTCAGGAATTCAAAAAATTGCCCCAGAAAATGGAAGTTTTTAAATAAATGAGCAGCATTAAAATTTCAATTTTATTTGCTCCGTGACGCGGCTTGTAGGAATCGAACTTTTCCGAGTTATTTAGAAAATTTTCAAATAATTTTTCACCAACAAACAATCTTTAGGTTTTCTAAAAATATCCAAACAATTTTTCGAAATAAATAAACGCAGTTAACGCACTTTATATACTCGTGGGTTTTGCCCGCAAAAAAAGTCTATAAAAAGTTCTTTTTCGGGCGCCCAAAAACTCTCAAATTCTCTCAAAAACTTCGATATTTAAAATCGAAAATTAAAAGCTTAGGCAATAAAAAACCGATGTTTAGGGTTTAAGAAAAAAATAATTTTACTGAATAAATAACTTTAAAATGAATTTTAAGAAATTAGCAAAGAAACGAGAAATTTTGAACTGAATCAGCAGCCTTGAAAGTACATTTTTATCAGCGCTTTTGACGAATCGAATTTAACTTGCTTACCAAAAAAAAATTCAAGAAATTTAGTAAATTATAAAAGAGTTTTGCAAGTAAAATGGTTCTTTTGATATTTTTCAAATTACCCAAAAACTGAGCAGTTTTAAGTAAATCAGCCCGCAGCTCATTGCTTCATTTGACGCAAGTTCTATAACTTGCGCATTTTTTCAGTTATTTGGACAATTAGAATAAGCTTTAGTAAGCAGAAGAATTATTTCCAATGGGCCTTCAAAATTTGTTTAAATTGCTACCAAAACAAAGATGTTTTGAATGCAGCTAAAACTCAAAACGTAGTTGATAAATATAGGCGACGCTCCTGATATAACTTACGCAGTTTTTGGATTATTTAACAAAAAGAAACTATGGTTTTGCTAGAAAAACAATCCTTGAAAATGCAATTTAACGAAATTCTTCAAAGTGCCACAAACACTAGGATTTTCAAGATAAAACAGCGGCTTGCAGCATAAATAACAGTGATTAGCGCAACTTGTATAACTTGTACATGTTCGCAGTAATTTAGGAAGTTTAAAAAGGTTTTGGCAAAGAAATGAACCATTTTCAGCTCGTGATCTACAGCAGTTATTAATACTCACTTAAGGCGGTGTTGGATCCAGCCAAAGATGTTTGACTAAGACTTTTCAGATCCAAATGAGTGTGCCGATACTGAACACCATCCACATCAATGTACGCTTTCACTGTACAACCATCCAAATCTTTGCGCACCAATTGCGACCCTGAAACCAACAGAAATAACACATTTATTGAATAAGTCGGTGATTTTTAGGTCAAAGTTCACTTTCCGTCTATGAACAGCAAATAGAAATTACATTTCTAATTACTCAGATATTTTAAACTGTTCGGGTGAGGTGTGGGTGTATTTCGCATTTTCATTTAAACTTCTTTGGCCTTGTTCTGTGTGGAAAATGTCTCTCTAGAAACGATGTCAAATACCCAAATGTTTCGCAAAGAGTTGCTAATTATGTTTCAATCTCGTCATCAAATTGAACACGTGCCAAGACTTTCGAATGAAATAATAAATGTCCATTTTTCTGGGTTTTCTGCAGGAAATATCAACACCCACCATCTAAAGTACTTACTCGACGTTCGCCAACGGTCCAGGAATGCGGGCAAAACAAATAAAGTGAAAACCAGCATCCAAGTTGAAAAAAGGACTTCTTGCTCTACTCACCTCTGCGCTTAATTCGGCTAACATCCGGTTGGCTCTTACTCACGTCCTGCTGCCTCAAACTGTTGAAAGAGTCAATGAATTCCCGCTTGTAGGTTTTCACCTCGTTGTCGCTCAAGTCCGGTTGGGACACGCTTCTTCTGCTGGGTATTGAGCCGTATTGAGGCTTCGGTTTGAGGAGTTTTGGCTTTGGAGGCGGAGTGCGCGGCTCAGGCGAGGAACTGTTCAAAGAGTACAGCGAGTCTCTATCTGGAGTTACTGTAGAATTGCTGGCGTCGTCCTGCCAGTTTACTTCCGCCACCACTGGCGAAAAGTGCACGCCTGGAATTGACACAGAAAATGAGCTGTATTTATCGGGAAAACCCGATGTTGGAGAAATGTGACAGCGACTAAAGGATTGGAGAAGGAAAAACTCACCTTTACTCCCACTGCTGCCAGTGAAACTCTTCACAGAATGCCTCAAAGTTTTGTCGTCAATGTCGCTCATTCCGGATGTGCTGGTGCTGCTCTTAATAATCGATCCCTTCCTCCTCACCACGACCTCATTTTCATCCGTGCTGGTGTTATCCAGAAGAATGTTCCGGCTCCTCTCCTCCTCCATCCTGGAAGTGTCGTATTTACTTCCGGAAATTTCCAGAGTACTTTTCCTGCGATCGTCATCGAAAAACGACTCTTTTTCCCTCTTGACCACTGGTTCAATCCGGTTCAAGTCGGGAGTACTCACGGCAACCGCCGGTTTATTTTCATATCTCTTAACTGGCGCGGATTTGGTGAAAACCGGTTTTTCCAGATAGGAAAGCGGCTGATTGCAGCCTTGTAGACTGGACGTGCTGCTCAGAAGACTATGCAAGGACTGTTCTGAGATAGGCCTGAGTACCTTGCGGTCGAAATCCACTATAGGAGATTTAGGGAGCTTCGCCTTGAAACGCAAAGAGTTTTCGTCGTCACTCAAGTCCACGCGATTGCTCATGGCTTCATTATAAGACCCTTCACGCCTGTAGCTCGACATGTCGTCACTGTGTGCACTCAAACGATCATCCTCTACAGTTTCCTCTTCCTCAGTAGCTTCCAAACGCAACTTAAACGGCTCTTCCTCCACTACAACCGCACACTCACCAGCAGCTTCAAAACTCTCACTCTTATCACACAAATTGCAGCTCAGATCCGCCAAGTCCCAGTTCTTTTCCGCCACAGATGCAGTAGTTGGACTGTTGAACTCTCCAAGGAAATTCAAGTCTTTTGGCACGCTGCAAACATTTACAACTGAATCCTGAATGTCAACTGGCAATCTTTCGGTGCTCTGAAGCAAATTGGGTACGCTGGCCGCATGCGAGACATTACAAGCGCTAAATTTAGCCGACTTAGAATAACTCGTTTCTGGATCTAAATTTATATTCAAGTTAATGGCGTGCGTCTGAGCAGCGCCAATCGAGTTTAACAGTTGGCGGGCGTGTTTTTTGCGAAGAAACACATCGGTTAGTGGGGAGGTTTTGTTCAGCGGTTCGCTGAACGGATCGTATCGGTCGAAGATCGAGAGGTCCTGGTAGGAGACTCCAAAGTTGCCATTGAAGTTCTGGAAAACAACAGAAATTGGGTTAGTTGAGAGTTGAAAAATGAGGCAAAGTGGGTTCAAAAACAGAACACTTATCTCCAATTGGAAGAGGGTGGAGTGTTCTACTAAAAGACCAAACCTTTCACTCGGTGGATAATGTCGATTTATGAGCTTAGAAGAGGGCAATGTTTATGTTTCTGGACGAAACTCACTTCATCCATAGAATTTCTATGGATTAGGTTAGAAACATTTCATAGAAATGGTGGAGAATTGAAAGGACAATTTCCATCTGTTCCAGAGTGATTATTTCGGAACTCAAAAGCGCTCCTTGTTGGTATTTCGGGAACAGGCGCTATATTTGCATATTATGTTGTCTCCTCATCCATCTCAACTGGGTTGAGGCCATTTAATATCCAATTTAAGGCGCTCTCAAATTACACTTTAAAAAACAAGATATGGGCCTGTTGCCTTCCCAGAAGATGTTAAGGGTAGCTTTTTCAAACATTTTCAATGGCTTGAAGACGCTCCAAGTAACGTCTTTGAGCGAAAAACAGTTTCAAAGAGAATTTCCATCTGTTGCCCAGAAGTAGTTGAAGATCTTCTAATCTTGAAGATGAAGACCATTTCATAAAGAATTGTCGACCCTTTCAAAAGATGCTTTAAAGAACAAGCCATGGTCTTCCTTGCGGTCTTCCCAGAAGATATTTAGTGTATCCGTCCTCAAAAAACTCCTTTGAGCAAAGAGCAGTTTTCAAGATTGTTTCCATCTGTTTCCCAGTATGAATAAAGATCTTCAAAATATGAACTGCTAGATTTCTGGAATTAGCTCGATGTTTGCTTGATCCCTCATTTAGTTGTTTCCAAAARCACTCTCAATTTTATAAAGAATTTTCGACCAATTCAAACGAGGCTTTAAAGAACACGATATGATCTTCTTTGCAGAGTCCCCAGAAGATGGTTAGTAATGGTTTAACGCAATTTTGCAAAGCTTTGAGAGATTCAAGTGGCTTCAATGAGTAACGGAACGCATCAAAGGCCATTTGCATCTACTCCATAGAGATAATTGAAGCTATTAAACATTTTATTTGTTGCAATTTATGGAAACTGATTGGCACTTGCTTTATCCATCGTTCTGTTCTTTCCTCGGCGATTTCAAAGGGAGGAGGACCATTTTTCAACGACAAATTGAAATGATGCTTCAAGGAACAAGCCATGGTCCTTTTTCTTCGCTTACCAGGGGATGTTAACTGAACCCTTTTAGATATTCCCAACAACATTGAGACAAATTTTAAAAACTTTTTATTGCCAGTTTTTGAAGAATCTTAGCATTTGATTCATCCACAGCTCCATTGATTCTAAAGCAGCTTTAAAAGGAAAAATATCATTCGATAAGAAAATTGGCGTACTTTGAAATTAAGCTCACATACACCAGACAACGGCCTCTCTTGTGATAGCCTCAGAAAATGTTAAGTGAGCTCTTTTGGGACATCTTGCCGCAACTTACAAAGATTAAGATTTGAATTATTTCTGGAATTAGCTCGATGTTTGCTTGATCCCTCATTTAATTGTTTCCCAAAAGCACTCTCAAGATGAGACCATTTCATAAAGGGGTTTCGACCCTTTCCAATGAGGCTTTAAAGGCCAAGATATGATCTTCTTTGCCGCGTCCCCAGAAGATGGTTAGTAATAGTTTTACGCATTTTTGCAAAGCTTTGAGAGATTCAAGTGGCTTCAATGAGTAACGGAACGCATCAAAGGCCATTTTCATCTACTCCATAGAGATAATTGAAGCTTTTAAACATTTCATTTGTTGCAATTTATGGAAACTGATTGGCACTTGCTTTATCCATAGTTCTGTTCTTTCCTCAGCGATTTCAAAGCGAGGAGGACCATTTTCCAACGACAAATTGAAATGATGCTTCAAGGAACAAGCCATGGCCCTTTTTCTTCGCTTACCAGGGGATGTTAACTGAACCCTTTTAGATATTCCCAACAACAWTGAGACATTGRAATTTTAAAAACTTTTTATTGCCAGTTTTTGAAGAATCTTAGCATTTGATTCATCCACAGYTCCATTGATTCTAAAGCAGCTTTAAAAGGAAAAATACCGTTCGATAAGAAAATTGGCGTACTTTGAAATTAAGCTCACATACACCAGACAACGGCCTTTCTTGTGATAGTCGCAGAAAATGTTAAGTGAGCTCTTTCAGAGATTTTGCCACAACTTCCGCTTTCTGTGGAAAAAATTCCACTTTAAAGTCACTTTTCTTTCGTATCATAAAAGATCGAAGAAATTTTGCTTTTTTCATCCTGCCCGATACATGTTCAAAGTCAAACTGACCACGCTCTCATATCTGCCTAAAACCCAGTGCTTACCTGGAAAACATCACAGTCGTAAGCACCAAAGCCAACATAGCTGTTCTTCTTCCGCTTGGGCGGATTATCGTCAATCGTTTTGGCCATCTTGTTGCTATCGCTCTTCCTCAGCCCCATCAGATTGCCCGTGCTGCTGCTCAGACTTACCATGAAAGGATTGGTAAGTTTGGCGTGATTATTCAAGCTGCTGAGCAGCTGTTCTCCATAGCCGCTGTCTTCGCTCAGATTTTCACTGGAGAACTTCTTGGTGCCTCCATTGCCGCCCAACTGCAAGCTATCGAAGCTGCGCCAGGTCTTCAGATTGTCGCACGATCTTCGAGAGGAACATTCAGAGTTTAGCGTTAATGCGTACTTTCGGAAAATGCGTTTCCTTACCGGGAATTTTCCACGGTTGTGTCGGAGTCGCTGGAATCTGAGCTGGAGTATCTGGTGGACACGTTATAGAGAAGCGAGTCCCGACTGGAGCTTTGCTTGGAGCTGTAAGAGATGAAACATTGAACCGTCTACTAGTAATAGGAGTTGGCTACTCACCGATTCAACTCATTTCCAAAAGTTTGGAAAATATCCACCTCAAACCCAGGGCTGAAGTCCTGGACATCAGTCTTGGCTATGTCAAGAGGATCGAAGGAAAACTGCGAGAAAATCCGGGGCGATTGATTTTCCTGGCACTCTTTTTCGAGGGTTTCGAACTGCAGCAAGCTACTCGATCTGCTCAGCGACAGTTCTTCGTCATCTTCGGCTTCTGGCAAGCTGAGGAAATTCTCTTGCTTTCTTCGCTTGGGCGGGCAGGCAATTTCGCGGTCGGATTCACATTCCACATCGTCTGAAAAAACAAAAGAAGACACTTAGTGTTTTTGAAGCGTTTTTTTCTTAGTTTTATCAAGATAAAGGGCGAGCAATTGGAAATTAACCCAACAGAACACTCACACTTGGAATGGATTTTTAGTGGAACAATTAGCGACTTTGCGGGCGCAGGAAACACACTGGCTTCGAAAATACGGACAGTTTTAAAAAATTGAGCCTGCCAACCGACGGTAGATTTAATTGTGAATGTGTACGAGCACTAATTCACATGGGCTTGCTTGGACGAGCCAGTATTGTAAATTAAAAAGGTAAAAATAGAAATAGTGTTTATGCATTTCGTATACTATTAGTGTGGAAGTGCGACATAAATCACTGATTAATTTGATTATGTGATGGGGTTTTTCGTCTTGGGCGAGCAAATAATGAATTTGCTGAACTAATTCAACAATTAAGACCTCAAAACGTCCAGTAGAATTTGCGGGATTAGTGAAGCTGTCTGTTTTCTTCCTCAGATTTGCACTGTTTTACAGGCAAGTGCATTGAAAAGTGCACAGAATCAACAAAGTGCTCACAAAATGAAAAACTAACACTTACTTTCAAAGATCTCCAAAAGGCAGCTAGAATAGGTAAAACATTGAAACAGGCACATTCACAAGAGCATAAAATTTTGATGGGTGTTGAAATTTCGCAACTTCCGTAAATTCTGGCTTTAGCTTAGTTTCCAACTTAAACTTACCCAGTTGATCGTTGCAAATGACGCTGCCATCCTCCGAATCAGTAGCCAGCCATCCAACAGGCGAATTTCTCGAATCCACGTCGCTGTCTGATCTCAAATCATCCGAGGTCTCTTCTTGAATCGTCTCCAGATACATATATTGTCCCGATGAGCCGTTGAGGAAATAATCTGCATCTGCAACAAAAGCCACAATCAAACAGGGGCGCGAAATGAAACTAGGACGTTTGTAAGGCGTTTGACCGCATTTCCGAACAGGGTCAAAGGGAAATCCCACTAAAACGCAACACACAAACGCTCCATTCAGTAGAGTATCATGAGAAAGTTCACACGTTTATCACTTTTGTAGTTGGCAAATATTTGTTTGTTGTATTGATAGTTGGAACACGGGGGCCAATTAGTTGAACACACAAAATCGTTTACTGTAAACCAGTGTTGAATATTTCAGCTGGTCTTTTTAAGATGAAACAAAGAAAACATAAGTAGTTACAACTAATATTTGACTTTCATTCACTTTCTTCTTCCTGGTTGTCTTGGTTCTTCTTTATCTTCTTTGTATTGTAATCGGCTGAATTCCAGTCCCAACATGTATGACTGCTTTGAATCATTGCTAGTTCACTTGCCCGAAGAAAAATGTGAATAACAAGAACACACCTGAAGCCGATAGTTGCGTTAATTTCAAAACAGGAAACTTAAAAGGATTCATTGCAAAACTGTGTGGACTTTTACCGACGTAACGAGACCAACCTTAGCTTCGAACCTTGACTTTTGCAATTTACATAAGGAAAATAGTCGGTTTATTTCAAGTAAAAGTGTCTTTATCAAGCGATTTTCGCTAATGACAAAAGTTCACAGTTTCTGGTGTTTGTTTTCGCACTTTTACTTGCTGAAAAGTAAATTTGGAGAACGTTAATCGAGCGTTTCGTAGAATCGCGTTTTTTGCGTCGAGCGCTCAATATCAATGAAATGAACGCGAATCGATTCCGTTCACTTTCGGCTTGGCAAATCGAATTACCCAAACGTAGTAGATTCAATCGAGATTAATGAGAATGAAATTAATTGTTTTTTCAATGGGCGTCTATTGGATTAAAGTGTTCAACATTGTTAACATCGCTGCTCGATTCAATCAACCGCGACAGGCTAGAGCAACGCGGCAGAAATTTGCAGATGCATGAAAAGGTTTCATATGAAGACTTTGCATTGAAATCTACAGAACAAAAAGACAAGATAAAAAATTAAAAAAAACACTCATAAGCGGGATCGGTTAGAAATTTTATGCTGACCGAAATAGGAAAAAGTTATATCCAAGATATGAGTTACTTCAAATACTAAAATATTTGCTCTTATCTTTTCAGGGGTTAGGAATTTCAGGAAAACCTAATTGGCGAAAGAGAGTTCTGAAGGCTGGCTATCAAAAAGATTTTTAAGTCTGATTGGATATTTCGAACCAATTCTAAAATATAGCGAGTTTTAGACCTCAAACGGTCCCAAAAATGTCGACTTTTGACTTCGATTAGTTTAAAGGTTAGGAAATTAATTAAAACCTATTTTAACCATTTTCAATCTAAATTAACTGGGTAAAATGCGAAATTTCCGGGGACCCGCTAAGGGCAAATAGCTTAATTTCAACGCTCTCTGCATCTATTCTCACACTCTTTCGCATAAACTAAGCTCACAATCCTGATAAGTCCAACTCAAAATTAATTCCTGGGTTTCAGTCATTTATTGTCTTTATTTATCAATTAAAATACGTTTCGGTGTATTTTTCCACCATCTTCAGTTTTTATGTGTAGCGTTGTTGCTGCTTTAAGCCGTGCCATACAATTTAGAAATGTATGCCAAGGCTTAAAGCAGCAGCAACGCTACACATAAAAACTGATGATGGTGGAAAAATACACCGAAACGTATTTTAATTTATAAATAAAGACAATAAATGACTGAAACCCAGGAATTAATTTTGAGTTGGAATTGAAACACAGTCAGGAAAGTATAAACAATGAAAAATCCTGATAATGACATTTTAACTCATTCTAGTTAGTATATTATTAAGGTTCAATTATATTATTAAGTGACAAAACTGCACACATTCCACCAGCCTTAATGAACGTGCATGTAGGTGGATCATTTTCCATGAAAACTCATTGACTATTGAAAATTAATAATCACGGTTGATTGCATCATGTTGAGGAATAATTGGGTTAATTGGCTCAGTTAAGGCTCGCTATCTGCGTGAAATGTCGCCAATTCAAGTGCGACTCTCAATGGTAAAGTTCATCATTACAAAGAGAAAGAAGCGAACATAACAGCACGGCCCATTTTGATCTTTCCAGCATCGAAAAGTGGCTGAAAATACTATGTTGGAACATAGGAGAGTCATTAAATGAATAATCTACAACATCAGTAACTTTTTGTTATCGATACCCAGACGGGTCCAAACTAAACTGCTCAACTTTGGAACGGGATAATTTCTGCTTGCTTCAAGCGATTGGGTTTCTGTTGGAAGTGCTATCCAGCATTATTTGTGTTCTGTTAGTCCATGTTGCAGAAAAAAATTAACCTCCTCAGATAAATTAGCTACAGGTTGGCAAATGGAAAACTGCAAAATTGCGAAAAGTTCGACATGCGTTGGGCAAAAATGAGGTTTTTTGGATCTCAGCACCAAAAGTTTCAAGGCAAACCAAATAGATCGAAAACGTTTTTTAATTTTTCGGCCACATCTATTTACAGGGTGGTTTCAAAAAACTCAAATTTTTGGTCTTGCAGTTGCTTTGAGTTCATGTTCTAAACCCTCTGTAAATTAAACTTTTTGCTTCCCTTAAAGGTAAAATTCTTCCAGAATCCAGACGAAGGAGCCTAAAGATGGGTCGAATTTTATTGTCATTTAGATTTTATTGTTTTAAACAATTTTGGGCAACAAGTTATAAGACTCTATCCCGCATCTCTCGAATTGCTATTAACCCTGGACTGAAAATGGACTAAATCAGGAAGTTATTGTTAAATCAAGTGCCAAGCTGCGATCGCTCCTTAAAATAAGCGCCTGTTGCGTGTCTTTGGCTTTTTACACTTTCTGATGCATAACCGGACAAGACATGCCCCGGCAGGGCGTGCTTTGCATACCGAATTCTTCAAGAAATATTTACAGCTCACTGCAGGCCGATTTACAGGTTTTCCTTTGCAGTATCAGTAGAAGTCTTCAGATAAATTGATAGAATCCTGATGTGTTTTCGGCTGAAAACCCAACAAGGTAAACTAGGTAAAGATTGATTAAGTACAGACAGAATAAAGATGAAGAAACTAATCAAACGTGAGTAGTAAGCAAAGAGAAATTACGGGGATCTTCTAAGTGGCACAACAGGCTGTATGTAAGAATACCAATGGCAGGATTGCAATATTTTGGTGCATGCAGGAGAAAGTGTATACAAATTGCCACAGATTTTTACCATTGCGGTTCTTATGTTAACACGTGAACCATCGAAGGTAAATACATTTTTCAGAGCAGAGAGAAATTCCTGCAGTTTTCTCGTTGAAACTAGGAACACGCAAAAAAAGGTTCAAATAAAATCAGTTGAAATATTTAGTTTGCTTTGTATGTGGATAGTGCAAATTTTCGTCAAAGAATTGGCTAAATTCTTGATAGATTCTTTAGTTATCTGGGATCTGTTTGAGTGTTTTAGCTGACTTAAATGCTTTGAGGTTTTGGCTGTGTTTTTGTCCGATTTCCTGACGAATTTTTCCATTTCAAATGCCAATTTCTGGCTTGAAAAAAATAGGCCTGAACTGCTTGAACGTTCTGGTTTAATTTATTCCTGCAAATTTCTCGAACATTTTTCGAAAGATTCTATATTTTACGCGAGAACTAAATAACTGAAGTTGTAAGGACCATTTCGAGGGCAAAATGATGCTCTTTACCTTGGACTTTTCGAATTGGTGTAGAAAACAGAAAAACGCTAAACAACCTCGAGGTTTTCGGGAATTTTTTAAAAAATCCGTAAATATTTTATGGCAATTACGATTTATTTCAGTCAACATCAACATTCGTGTTTAAGGCTCCAATTTTTAAATATTTTCGATAAAAATATTTTGTGAATACATTCTAGTGACCCATTTTTTCGGCGTTGAAAGTAAACTTCCTCCTGAAAGCAAATTGTGTTTATAATTATAAAACCGTTTCATTCTAATGATTAAAGCATTTTTTGTATTTGAATTCAAAACTTTAAACGCGTTATTGTCAAGATACGGTCGAAATTAACTTGACACAAATTCTACGCTGGTGTAAAAATTGGATTTTTCCGACGCCATTAGATTCGCCAAGTAGTTTGTTACAAAAAACTTCCTATTGTTTATTCAATATTTTCGAAAACTGCCGAATAATTGTTACAACCTGATTAAACTCCGTTCTATACCTAAAGGAGTAGAGGTTCTGATGCACTTAAGCAGACAGCAGCCAGGAAAATATGGATGAAGATGAAAATTAGACGAACTGGAAAATTGTGAGTTTCATACGTTCAATACATTTGAGTTTAATTAAGGATTCATTTGTAAAATTAATAAATACGCTGATATTTTCACATTTCGGGCTTTGCGACGCAAAAACAAAAAAAAATTAAAATAGCGCTTTCCATAATATCGCTTCGAAATGAAGACTTACGACGCTGATGACAAAAAATTAATTATCAGGATTTTCTTTTGAGGATATTTACTAAACTCCGATGTGGAAGACGAAATTTGGTGTAAAGTGATAAAAGAGCAAACAGTGGATCCTCATTTTGCGCTTTAACTGAGAAAAATACCAAAAACCAATTTTACAAGTTTCAATCAAGTTCAATATTCTTTGCAATCTGATTTGGCTTAAGTCAGAGAAATATGTATAGAAAAACAGTGTTAAAACAGGAAAATGCAAATTGCACTTAGGCAGACCTTAGCAATCAGGCAAACACAGATAGTAGTTTGAAAACGGGCAAATGCGTGCATTAGAAGAAAGCTCATTTTTTTAAGATATTAAGCAGTTTCCAGCTGCAATTAATGAGCAGGATTTAAATATTCCATTTTGTAAAAAGTTTATTCCTCGTTCAAGCCTAAGAATGAGTCCAAAGAATTTTCGTTTGCAGTGAAAGTAGACTGTAGATTTGGAATAAAGCAAAAACGAAAAACTGGTGTAAACTGCGGGTAGTAATAAT